ATCAAAAATCAGGAATTTCTAAAAGCATATATAAATACCAATACCATTATGTTAGGTTCTTTTCTCATAGACGTCTTTTCTAGAGCACAATAGTGTCTGACTGCTACGAGAGAGGAAATAATGTCTCGTCGAAACATTCCATTGAGATCTATATCGCGTGTTTTGTGTCTCTGTGACGGCAATTCGATATGCAACATCTGTATCAATCTCATCTTCTTGCGAATCACGTTCTCAATAATAAACGCGACCGGAAAGAAGAAATGACTCGTTTCAGTTAGTTGCGGATGATGCGCAAAGTTACTTACAGCAAAAAAAATGAAATAGCATTATTAAGGATAAGGATTCTTTATTCTCAGAATATATATTTTCACAAGTCTTATAATCTAAATGAAATGTTTTAAAAAAATTTGCGCTTTATAATAATCACATTTTAATTATATATTGAATTAAATAAAATACAATTAAATACAATAAAATACAATATAATTCTTGTATTATGTGTTTGTGTATACGATTCTGATGTATCATTAAAAAATTATGTATATTGCAATAAAAAGATTTAAAAAATTTTAATTTATCAAAAATAAAACGTATTTATATTTTTAGAAAATTATTATGTTAAAAAAATTATTTTGTCTCCTCTATATATTATTAAATTTATTAAAAATAAAATGTGTTGATTTTTTTATTATATATAAATATAATATATTTTATTATTTATCAATATTAAATTGAGTGTACTTCATCTGCAATAATTACGTGTTATCGTATTCAGTATTTGATTTTCATATTCATTAAGATTTAATCTGAATACGATAAAGTGCCAAATTCACGGTGCTATTGCGCAATAAACTATACAATGAAAAAATTGATAATAATAACAACAGCTATTTGTGTTCAATATATGATAACTCTAAATTATCGAATTCCATTCGATTAACTTTGAAACAACTTTCACTTTGCAACAAATATTTATCAAATTTGTTGAATTTTTATTATAATATTATACATAAATTTTATTCATCTTATGTATATTTCACATATAATTTTAATATAAATTTGATATATTGATTATATATTGATAAAAATTTTTTGAAAAATGTTTTATAAATATTTTATACATAAATACTTTGTCTTTTTTAAATGTATTTTTTTTATATAATAGGGGATCAAACTTAGCACTTAAATAGTACTTAATTTTGGCATACATTTTATTTTAATGTAATGCAGTAGGGACTAGCTTAAAAGTAGGTAATTAATACTAAAATGAATAAAAACAATAAAAACAATTAATAAACATTTAAAAAATTTGCCTAAAAAAATTTTATTTTCATTATAAATTTATTGTGGACATTTTTTTGTCGAGAAAAAAATACATTTTAAAAAGTCTAAGAAAAGTAATTGTCAATTTTAAAATACTATGTTTTATACGCTTTTTAAATAGCTGATTCGCTTATGCGTCTGTCTGTCAGTTAGTAGAAATGGAATCCATGTAATTCCCGACAAGATTTGCCTATTGTAGGTAGAAATGGAGCAATGGACCATGAATTTCCGCGAGTTTCAACAAGAACATCTCTTTGCTGCAGGCGAAATTTCGCCTGATAATTTCCACGATGGAATTCTGTCGTTGTAATTACATAAGTTTACCATTACACAATTATATCGTGTACGGAATGTCCGTGTGGAAAAATGCGACGGCTATTATATATTTAACGAGTATTTTTGTATCAAGATAAATAATTAGAGTAATTGATTTCACGATCCATTATTTTGACTGCAGTTTAATGAGTATAATTACTCACTCTTTACCATATTATTTGTAAATTGGAATCATATATCGCACTACGTATTACATCGCTATAGAATGTAGAAAATTAGTATTATATTTGGAATAGAACTTTTTTAACATATTTTCATATAACAATTTTATATTTTCTAAAAATGCTAAAATGACAGTTATTATTTTTAAAAAGTGTTACTGCCATATTTTCATAGTTGCAATTTATAAATTTGAAATGTAGAAATATTATAATTTAAAAACATTAAAAAATAATTGAAAAAACATTGCTTGAATGCTATGTGTACTGGGCAACAATTTCAATTATAGTTAATAATTATGATTTAATTGCAACAGAAAATAATATATCTAATTAAGTACATATCGACATAAATTGCAATATATACAAATAAAAACAAGATAAATAATAATATTTTTCAATATTTTATATTTTAACGTTCATAAAAAAGACAATAATTGTTCGCACAAAAAGCTTCTTTTTTACGAAAATTCTTGTTGAAAAAATTGTACTATTGCATCATTGTCTAGCATTATCCTCGCTTGTCGTTATCCATTCCCTTTAAAAAGCTAGGAAAGAGAATTGGGCCACAAAAGCGTTAAAGATATTTCCCTGGAGATACCAAGTAACGAGCACCGTATTAAGACGCAGCTTTAGACTGCAAGATTACGCGATGCGAAATAGGGTCGCGATTGTCTTGCATTCCCGGTTGTCCCGCGCGTGCGTGTCCATATACAGGGTAATCCGAAGCGAGAAAACGCGAGTACTTTATTTAGATAAATCTTGGAATCAACTTTAAGATATATTTTCCATTGAGAGAAATCACCCGGTCTTGTTGATTATTCTTTATATTTGAAACTATCTTTATACTATCTCTTTATCTCTCTCCACTAAGCCTAATAAATAACAAAATACAAAGTAATAAAAATAGGTAAAAATGGATAAATAATTTTATAAAATTAATGAACTTGAATAAGTGTATATTACAGAAGAAAATTCAAATTTTTTGCTGTATTAAAAATTATTAAAATTATAAAATAAACGTGTTATAAAAATAAAAAATAAAATAATTTTCTAATACATAAATATATCTTATATAGAGTTATAAAAATCATCATAATAAAAATATCGATCAAATTCGAATGATGCATATCTTTGGTTATCCACTTTTTATGCTTAATTTTAATATAATGTACTTCGCTAAAGATCGGCTTTAGAATACATTGATAATGTATTTTCTCGCACTTGCATTCTCTTACTAAGATCACCCTGTATGCATGGGTGCTTCTTATATCTTGATAGACGAGTGCATTGATTGCACGAAAGCGCTGAGCATCGATCAACCAACCTAAATCTGCCTCAATGCGCCCGAACACGCAAACCCTTCAGCCTTCTATCCGGACGGACACTCTTCCTTCTATTCCCGTATTATCTAAACAACAACTCTCCTCTCCTCCACCCTCTGGTGGAATATAGCTCTGCCTGAGCAAATTCGCTCTGTCTGCGGTTTTCGAGGTCCCGTTGCATATCCGCAAGGGTGCTTAGAAATTTGGGATTTCCGCACAAACTAACGAAACTTTTAAGTCGCTATTGTCTAGCACTCAAGAGTTCGCAAATTGACAAATGATTATATTCAGAAATATCAATTATAATAAAAATTAAATTAAACATAAGCATAAAAAATATACGTAAAAAATGTAAAGAAAATAAATAAATGTCCAAACCATTTAAATTATGTATTTTATAATAATTTTTTTTTAATGACATATCTATATTTTTAATTATAAATTTCAATAAATATTTATATATATCGTTTTTCATTTTATACCTTTTCAATTTAAATGAAAAAAAAAGAGAAAGAACTTTTTGCTACGTTTTATGGCTTCTTCCTCTGCATAAAAATTATTCTCCATTCCTGAGGAAAGCTTTTTCACGTCGAAGTAAACTTTCTAGCACAATACCAACCGAGAAGATTAAATGGTGAGTGCGTGTTAATAGTTCGGAAAAATTTCCGTATATGATGATGTTCACGTCGCGCCGTAGTGCGATTATCGCAGTTGCGAGCTACGATAACAACGCTCGATGGCACGTTGTGCAAAGTAATTATATCAGAAATTAGGTAGGCCAGCTTTTAATGGCTTCCACGGGAAAATTCTCGGGAGAAACTCGGGGAAAAAATCGCGATGGTATGAGAAAGTAGTTTCTCATTAAATCTCGCTGTTGAACTCGACAATTAACTTTCAACGATATGAATTTTTATCATCAATCAATATTTATATACTTAATTATATTTTTAAATTTATTATAATCAATTCCTTTAACGTGCGCGTCGCAATAGATTAAAAAAATTAAAACAAAACTTTATAGAACAAAGTGCAAAAATGTTGTGGTTATTTTACATTTTTTCCATCTACTCCGACTTAAACTAAATTGTATTAAATTATTACTAAAATTGTATTAAAATACTGCTAAAATTGAATTATTTTGAAACGTAATCTGATTGACGTATTTCAGATTTTTTCTAACTTTAAATTGTTTTGTTAAGCTAAAAGTCAATAAGAAGAGAAGAAAATATAAAAAGACAAATTATAAAAAATTAATTATAAAAATTAATAACTTAATTTTAATTTCAAATAATCAATAACTAATTTAACTTCGCCAAAATGAATGCGTTCAGTCTCGTGATTAATTAAGGATTGAAGGCTATATGCGCAATTGCCTCATTAATATGTCATTAGACTTCTATAGAAGGACATCGAGTATTACGTTATGAGAACCATTATAATATTATTGTTGTTATAGTGGTCTTTATGTCGGTAGATTCAGCTTATTTTACAGCGGTAATTATGTGTAAACAACATTACTCTCGTTAGAATTGTATTAAAATTTACCAATTCAACATGCACAAACGTACACGAAAACGTAATGTGTTAATACTCGGGCTTCATACTTTGCCGATAAATCTACATTACATGGCACGAATATTTAATATGATTACAAATGCAATAATTGTTGCACAAAAGACTGTGAGATTTCTGTTGTCCATTCGAAAATCTCGTATAATTGCTCTGTCCTGTTTTCTATATGGAATAAATTAAGATCTATTGAGAGAATTCTGTTTGTTTAATGAAAATAGAATACTAATTTGAATTGTCTTTATCCAAACCAGCATTGGAAAATAAATTGATTATTTTTCTGTTTTAGGTACTTCGATACGACAGCAAACAAGAAGTTGGCGGGCCGAACACAAAGCTGCAAGAACACTCGGTATAATTATGGGGGCGTTTCTTCTCTGTTGGCTGCCGTTCTTTATCTGGTGAGCGTCAATTATGAAATAACTCAATGAGCTAATTTTCTAAGTTTTCTTCAAATCTTATGGAGGAAAAATTCATTGATAAATTTTTAAATAATTATTTCATTACAATTTTATTTTATCTCAAATTGTCAAAAAAATTCTCGACAAAAAATCAACAAGAAAAGACTAAAAATTAAACATTAAATAAAGATATAGATCTTTAATTTTGATTTTTATTTCATTTTAGATTATCAACTTAAAGACAAAATTGTAATTATTGATCAAGACATTCTTAAAATTAAAAACTCGAATTGTGTGTAAATATATTAAATTCATTTAATACATCAAAATTTTGAGTACACAATAAATGATATATATATATATATATATATATATATATATATATATATCTTTCATATCATTAAGTGGGAGATATTTGAAGTTTTTAAACGTCAATAAACTTCTCTTTAAAAGAAATACACAGCAAAATGCAAAACCTCATTGAGAGAAATACTTTTAGTGGAAGTCTACTTGGGATTTTGCTTTGAAATATTCTTGATGCGGAGTTCATGTATCGAGTCGTTGTCAAGAACGAGAGCTTTACTGATGCCGAATGTCTAAGGTTAACAAACAGAGGTAGAAAGAGAAGGACAGTCTTGTCTGTCCCATGTTTTATTAATGCAAGCTCAGAAAGTGCATCTCTATGGAGTTTGCCCAGGGCTTACCCTACTCTCTCCGCAAGCTTGCTCGCAGTTTGACTATTTGCTAAGCGCCGCGATCCTAGCGGAATATGAAGATCTCTCTTAGAAAAAGACTCAAGAGACAGGAAAAACCTTTCTTCGGGAAGAAAGTTTAAAATAGAAAGAAAGAGAGAATGTAAAACCTAAAAGAAAGACCAAGGATTTAGACCAGGATTTAGACCAGCTAACAATCGATGAATTTTCAAAAAATTTGCTAATAATGTGATCAAGTAATTATTAAACGAGAGAAATTTTGGAATACAAAAATTTCTGAAATTTTAAAAAATAAAAATATTAAGATACTTTAATTTTAAACAAAGAGAATTAAAATAATTTTGTTTTAAATATCTCTGTAAAAATCATTTATATTAAGATCAAATTTATATATCAAGATTTTTTTTATAAAATTACATATTATTAAATATATATTATATATACATATTAAATATATATTATTAAATGTATATTAAATACATATTACATATTATTAAAAATTATATAAAATTGTACTAGTAGAAATATTTTTTTATTTTGTTAAGTAGGGCTAATAAAAAATCAGTGTAACAAAATTAGAATTAACTATGTCTTTAAAATTATTAAAATACCATATTATTTTATTTATACGCTCAAATCTCGCATGATTTTCATAAAATGTAACATTGCAGCATAACGATAAAACATTTTATTGAATACCGAATGACTGATAGATAAATATGCGCGCTTTTTCGCCTGAAAATGTTGCTCTCTATGAAAATCGAGCAAAGAGATGTAGATATATGAATGTGCAACAAGATATCTCCATTTTGCAACTCGGTTTTTATTCATGCAAATGCACAAAGCACATCACTCTATCACTCTACTGACCTAAAAGCTCGCATTAGTTTCGTAGTTCGACCATTTCCCAAATCGCGTTATTGACTTTTGGATGATCGACTCTCTTATCACATGAATAACTTTAAATTTCTGAAAAAATTGCGAATTTTAATGAGTTTCCTTAATATTTTCATCAAAATTTATAATTATCTTCATATTAGACTAAAAAATTATTTCACTTTATCAGATTTATCGAAATACATTTTTATTTTCATTTATTATATTTGTAAATGTAATTGTTTTGGTATAATTATTTCTAAGAAGATAATTATTTCTAAGAATAAGTACAAATAATTAAATTAAAAAAAAAGAAAGATAAGAATACAAACAAAAATTCTTAAAATTTAAAAAGAGCAACAAAAATTTAAAGACCTTATTTTAAAAAATAAAAAATTTTCTTCTTGCCGATTATTTTTATACAAATATATATGTATGTAAGTAAATCTATTTTCACAATAATTATTTTTATATTGTATCAAATTTTGTTTTCTTATATGAATAAGTAAGTATAAGAGAAGTAAGTATAAGAGAAAAGAAAAGAAAGTATAAAAGTATAAAAAGTATAAAAGAAAAGAAAAGAAAAAAAGAGAAATCTGCGAACATTTTTATATCTTATTTTTTTTTATTTAGAATAAGGAACTCGATACTGTTATCTATTTCTTCAAGACATGTAAGAATAAGAAAAATAATAATGGAAAAATACAAGAAAATGTTACTCTAGGATTAAATTCTAAGAATGCATACATATATATACTTGTAACAGCGATAAACTGCATTTTGTACAGTCCAATTTATTCGATTGATATCGGTGGCTTTGTAATTTTCGTCAAACGGAGATAGCCGTTACCACAAATCTATGTCGTTCTGGTTAATATTGTCCTATGTCGGTATCACGATCGATGCTTTGTGCATTAATAATGATATGTCTGTGGTCGAAAATACAGTCGCATTACGTTCTTAGCTTATTTCGATTTATATAGAATGTAATCAATCAAATCAATAGTGCAATTTTTTATTGTATATATGATGGATTTTTTGATAAATTTAAAATAAATTTTTCCTTAAAGAAAAGATCGTAGAAAATTCGCAATACAATATCATTGAATTCTTTGCACTACTTTAATTTCTCTTTTTTTCTCTTTCTCTTTCTCTCTCTCTCTCTCTCTCTAAATTTAATGTTTAAATTACTTAAAATTTTATTTAAAAATAGATATTAAGCTAATGAAAAAACGGATTTTTAGAATATATCTAACTTTAAAAATATTCAAATATGATAATATTTCGAAATCCTGAAGAAAAAAATAAAAATTATGAATGCTACGCAAAGAATTGAAAATATAAATCTTATTTTCACATTGATCGCGCGCATAGAGAAAGCAATATCGAAACATTAATTTAAAATCTCCGCATAATGCAACAGATGTATTTATATGCAAAATACTTGGTGCGCATGCTACAAGAAAATATGAAAGGCATACGTAAAAAATCTCATTTCTCCACCGCGTAATTTTGATCGAAAATAAATCCCATAAATATCTAATATCTAAATGTCATATTTATATTCGCACTTTTCAAGATACGCCACTAACACCGCATTGACAATGAGATATCCTTTTTGAAAATTATGGCGCACCCTATTCGACTGATCTCTTGACCTTTTTCCTGTAGATTTACCTCTTACTCTGCAAATCTCAATCTCGTTTATTAACGTTACCACAATGTTTCCAAAAACTTTTTCCTCCATGAAACGATCGTGATGTTTGATTTATTGCGTTATTTATGGTGTGTTGCATTTTTAGATTAAAGCAGGGAGCTTTATTTGCCGATTTGTTTGCTGTATACATGCTTTTATTACTTATATTTTTAAAAATAAATTCTCATTTTCTTTCGTTTATCTTATTGGTTTTTTATATACATTTTTATATACATTTTTATATACATTTATTAAAATTGACATACGCAGAAAGCTAAAGTAAATTTACTTCTCCTTTTTTTATTGTATATGTGATGGATTTTTTGATAAATTTAAAATAAATCTTTCCTTAAAGAAAAGATCGTAGAAAATTCGCAATACAATATTTTTAAAGTTATTGAATTCTTTGCACTATTTTAATTTCTCCCTTTTTCTCTTTCTTTCTCTCTCTCTAAATTATTTAATGTTTAAATTACTTGAAATTTTATTTAAAAATAAATATTAAGCTAATGAAAAAATGGATTTTTAGTACCTCGGATTTTAGTACCCCTATCTTTTTTAATATCTCGAATCATACAATTTTTCTAAAAATACATGCATTAAATTATATATCCTGGTTGTTTGATACAAAATATAATTAAAAATTTAATTTGAAAAAATATTGACTTAAGGCATATCGAATGCAATTCCTCTCCAGTCAGTTACATACGTCCAGTTACATACGTCTATTATTCAGAAATAGATTAAAAATGATTTGCAGAACTATAATAAGAACTATAATATAACTATCTGATTAAGCACTTCTCAAGCAAATGTAAAGAATAGTTTTTTTCCTGTCGTTCTTTCAGGTATCTGACGACATCGTTGTGTGGCGAGGCCTGCTACTGTCCGAACACGGTAGTATCGGTGCTTTTCTGGATAGGTTACTTCAACAGCGCCCTAAATCCGCTCATCTACGCGTACTTCAACCGCGACTTTCGCGACGCCTTCAAGGACACGTTGAAGAGTGCCCTGCCCTGTTGCGCCAATTGTTGTCAGACACCATCGCAATTTGTGTAGCGCGACAAAATTTGCAGAAATTCATTTCTGAAAGGCGAGTTTATCAATCCTCACAACCTACCTATCTCTCTTATTTTCTTTTTTCAACGAATTTCCAGTCAAAGCGAAATTGAACTACTTCGTTCCAGCGATTTTTGAACAATCGACATCGTTCGCAATTAACTCTTATTGCCCGGATCTATTGACTTCACACACCATTGGCTTTTCCGTTGTTCGTAACTTTGTGCAAGGCGCACATGTTACATTGATTGTTAATCGTCACGCGATGCACGCCTTGTAGCGAGTGTACTCTCTTTACGTTGTAACAATGTATTCCCGTTTTAAGTTTTAGCTATTCATAAATGTTTTCGCTACTTATGACTAATACATTAAAAATATGATTTTTTCTTAAATATGTATATATTAAATATATGTATATGTATATATGTATTTAAATATATGTATATATTTTACATCTCTTTTATATATGTAGATTTAAAAATTATTAAATTTTATTTTTTCGAGTTATTTAAATTTTATCACTCGTGCAGTTTTATCACGTATCTTTTTTAAACTTTCTGAGACAGTCCCTTCTGGAAGAATTTTGTCGAAATTTTGATAATTCATTTCGACAAAATATTAATTATATAAATACATATGTAATTGCGTAAAATTTGAGGCAAAAATTTGAATTAAAACTAAACAATTTAATCGTGGATTGCGATCTTCAAAGTGAGTTCCTATCAATTACAACCATGGTCGTCCTTCTTAGGGCGATGATCGGCGGCACGTAATTGCCTCCCATATAATCGTTGTCCCGAAATACATCCAGTAATGTAATCCCCACTATCATATCGCTGGCGGAAGCACACGACAAACGCTTTCGAGAGATTTGAGATCGAAATTAATGCTCCCGAAGAGCGGGGTCATTAAAACGGGTATTACCGAGTATAATAGACGCTATTACTGAGCGATTATCATCGATATGCTTCAATTTACGATTTGAAGACGGAATTTTTTTGGCATCAATAACAAGAAGAAATCTATTAAATATTATAAAACTAAGAAAATAGTAAGAATTTCTATAAAAAAATTATAACAATTATTAATTCGCTAATATTCGCAGAAAATTTTATTTGAAAAAAAAAAAAAAACAAATTCTCTGTCTATATCAATTAGATTGAGTTCTTAAATATTATATATTTTTCTCTTTCTTTATCTCTTTTTTGTAGATAAAAATTTATATAAGAGTGTAAATTATTTTAAAAAACCACTAAAATACAACGTTTTTAATCATTTTTTCTTTCAAACGTTTTAGTCATTTTTTCTTCCAATAAAATTCAAAATTTTGTTATAAATAAAATTTCAACAATTTTCATAAAAATAACGTGAATTTAATAATAAATAATTTTCTTTAAACATTGTAACATTAATTATTTAAATTAATAATTTATTAATAAAATTAATAATTTCAAATTTTTATATAATTGTAATTTACTAAAAATATATGATTTTAAAAAAATTCTATACATTCTTAAAATTTTTTAAATAAAATATATTGCCTATTCTAAAAAATATTTATTATAATTTGTTATTTTTTATTTGCATTATATCTTCACATATTCCTTATATATTATTAATATTTATAATACTTATTATATAAATTTATTATTATATATTAGTATTTATAATAAATGTACATGAAAGAGTGTGTAAATCATTTTTCTAACAAAAATTTATCTAATTTTCTGTGTGTTCGTAAAAATTAATAATACTGAAATCACATTATTTCTTATTATTGATCATAGGCAGAATGATTTCGCGCAAAAAAATGATGCCAGAAGTTACGGATAAACGCGTGCGAGGTATGCACGAGATTACAGGGGATTTATTAATCTATGCTTACTCTGTAAATACGTCGAGATGTTAATGTCGGCTAGCGCTAATTAGATGTAATTATTAGCGCACCGGCACGTGCAAGGCTGTAATATATGTAACGCGAGATACTTAACGCAGTAGCGTTAGTAACGAGACCGTCTGTGTGTGTGTAATATTATCGTAATCATGAAACAATAACGCCACGATGGATCAGCACGCAGACATTATAAAGAGTTCAGTGTGCGCGCCTGTATAAATGTACTATATAGCAATAAAATTGAGGAATAGATTGTAAATATGAAATAATAATATAAAGGCGTTTAGAAATGTGTATGCTTGTTTATTATGCGTGTGTGTGAGTGTGTTCGTTGTTTTTGTAAGTATAATAGATATAATGGATATATTACACTCACACATATTGGCCTCGAGTTTTGCGTGTCTTATGTGTTGCTTATATGTATACAGTAGAACTTGAGTCAAGAACAAAGCAACATAATTAAATGAGCATCTCATTGTGTTCGAATATATATCATTATTTCTTTAAATCATAAGAGAATCTCACATTTTTTACTTAAATTCTAAAATGGAAGTGATTTTATTATACATTATCAATGTCAATAAATATTATTAAATTTTCCAGAAGCATCGGGAGCTTATTATTTAAAGAAATAAAAATATATATTTTAGACTAATAAAGCGTCTATGTTTATTTGTGCCATCCAAAATATCTGTAAAGATATTCCGTATGCTGTTAACGTATTTTATTTACTCGTATGTTTTAAATTATTAAACAATATCGCTTATGATAATTGTATTTGGATAATCGAAAGTTTTAATACCTTATTAATTTTCGCTCTGGTTTTCTTCTTAATAATAAAGATAATAAAAATAATAAAAATGTGAAGAAAATGTTTCGAAAATTATAAAATTATATCAATATAAAGGCCAACTTGAAACAAGAATTTTAATTCAAGAATATAATTAAACCAAAGCATTATGATTTATATTTAGACTATTACTATTTATATTTAGATTATTACTATTACTATTACTGTTATTTTCAATGCATTTCTAAATAAGCTCATATTGGTCTTTAATTTAATATATTTTCATATTCTATTATTTTTCTTATATTTTATTACAAAGTATTATTTTTTACTCATAGATCTTTTACTCACAGTGTATTATTTCTTCAATATTTTTTAATAGGACACAACAAGTATTCCACAATTAACGAAATACGGAATATCTTTTCTACAATAATTTATTTAATCGACCATCTTCATTCGCTTCTGAATGATTATTCAATGAGAAAGAGAGACCGAATGGACGAATGAGGATGTGAATGAGGACAAGAAATTATGCTAACGCGTGCAGTTACGCGGACCGTCCGAGTAAAGACATTAATTAGCGTAATTCCCTGGCAGGCACGACTTTCTCGTGCAATTTCTGACAAATCATATTTCTTTTTCACATTCACTTAATCATCAAATGTCTCGTCTCTAATAAACAAGTTTGTCAAATTTGAAGGAAAATTCACTTCTAATTCATATGTTTTATAATTAACTCACTTAATTATTATATTGTGATAACAATTTTCCTAATTCAAATAATTAATTTCTATTATGCAAGGAACATAATTTATACACATCTAAAATCAGAGCGAATTTGAGGAAAATTTATTATTCTGACACAAGTGATCCTTTTTCAATACAACGCGTCGATACGAATTTTTCTATGTGTATGTATACATCGTGAGATTAATTATTGTCGTCGAGATGTTTAAACATTTTATATCGGGCTTCCGTTCAAGTAAGTTTCAGCTGATCGTAATGCATTTGAAAGAAAAAAAAATACGCCTGAAGGTCCATTCTCGCACATCCGAATTGCAGATCCCAAAATACATTAACGTTAAAAAAGATGTAAACTAAAATCATATATTTAAAAACCTAGCAAAATTAATACTTTTTAAAAATACAATAATATAAAACAATAATTAAAAAATATAATATCTGAAAGTATAAATACGACATTATCGTATCACTTGTGTAAAATTATTATTGAATTTATTAGTTTTCAAATATTTATATAAAAATTATAGAAAATTCAACATATATTTATGCAAAAAATATAAAATATATACATTTTTTTAATGCATTAAATAATTATTTGATCATCGTCAAATTAGAAATGCGAAAATGGATCTTAATAAATTACTTTTCTCGATGCGAAAAAAACCGATCGATGTTAGATGAAAAAACTCTCGAATTTCTCACGTCGAGACATTTCTAAAGGCTTTTCTATATCATTTCTCAGTGATATCAACTATTCGCGAACAAAGAGAAGAGACTTTTCGATCAGCGAAATAATCAATCGATATCGTTTGTTCGTGCAAAAGCAATGTTAATCTGACAATCTGTGTAGTGACGCTGAAAAAGACTTCATCTTGTGAAAAAACAAGAATTTAACTCGCGCGCTGTACACTGGGCCTAAAAAAAGCGTAGTGTTTAAACAAGCGATTCTAGCGATTCACTGCAATGGCAATTTTAGGGCGGAATAGACGTTTCAAAGTGTCTAGCGGCAAATCGAATACACGCAGCAAGTAGAATTAAGTGTGAATGGGAAAACACGACGAAAGAACTGATATGTAGATAATTTATGTAAATTGTATGAACACATGCGAGAATGAGAAATGAGAATGAAGAGAGAGAGGGAGAGGGAGAGGGAGAGAGAGAGAGAGAGAGAGAGAGAGAGAGAGAGAAGAAGAAAAAGAGAAAAACAAAGTAATTATAAGTGCATCGCATTGGAGTAAAATTGACTCGACTGAAATATTTTGTGCAGATTGTATCGATTTATGATTTTATCTTATTTAAGTAAAATTTGTGTATATAAGATACATACAATTTTTATTTTTACTATAAAATTATTTTATTTATAATAAATAATATTTTATTATAAAAATATCTTTTTTACTTTTTCCCATATAAAATATAGATTTTTCTTGAATGTTTCTCACAGAAAAAATAGATACTATCGAAAATAGATACTATCGAAAAATTAGAAATTACGAATAAAAGATAGGATCCTTTTCGTTAAACGCGTGATTTAGCGAGTCAATTTTGTTCCATTAGAATGTAGTAGCCAATGAGAGAGAAAGAAGAATGGAAAATAAACGATGTTATATTGCGAAAGAAAACTTGGTCAAGTCTTTAATCACATCCTCGCTTTTCAATCTATCCTACGTAACATTTCCTGCGTCAATATTTTATGAGTTCCCGCATTTTACGCGGCGAATTAATTTAGTGGCGACATCGTCACGGTAGTCGAGCTTGTTTGCGGTTAACCAGACGACAGAAAAGAGCGTGATTGATCGATAATCTAATAGATTGTGTGACGGTCAAAAGTTATCGTCTCTCTCCTTCAGAATATTTCTTACTCTATATAATATATTATATAATTTCACAAAGAGAATCAATATATTATTATTAATATCTTTGTTA